AATGAATTCCAAATCACCGGGAGATTACACCGAGGAGATTTTTCTTCATACATAAACATAATTTTCTAACGATGAAAATTGGTTCGATTTCTTGTGTTATAATTATGAATACTGAGATTCGTAGGGAACATGTTCGAAATAGTATTTGGAAGAAGATTATGAAAATAAAGGAACCCTAGCACCGATGTATGATACTGATATAAATAAATTCAAGGTTTTGAGCTTGATAAAAAGAGGAGCGGAATGCGCAAGATTATTAAATGGCTACTGGTACAAATACGCAGTACTTTTTTCTGTAATTTAAATAAGATGTTCTTTTTTAGTTTGCCACAGTTTCCCCAGACACTGACACAATATGATAAATGTGGTAATACAAGTAATATTGTGAATTGCCGATAAATTTGCCAGTTTTACACATAAAATCCATTATAAATTTGATGTCCAATTATCACTTAGTCATTTTATAATGACATGGCAATTAAAGTGAGGACTGACTTATTTTTTTATTATGATAGAAACAGAGCAGACAGTCATATTGGAAGCAAAACAAAACAAAAGAATGTCTGAATATATGATCACGAAGAGGTATGTTTGCACATAGCGACCACGAAAGCAATCAAACACTCCTTTAAACGCTTTTTGTCTTCCGAAAATTGTTTCGTCTTGCGATGATTCAGCATTTTTTTTTTAACTCTCCATCGGTGTTGATCTTCATCACATGCTTTCTAAATTGCTTCCCTAGTTAATGATGCAATGTGATAGACCTAGCAACGGTGAATAATTAAAAAAATTAAACAAAAACGATAATAAGCTCCATCATGTCATGTGTGGATGATTCAGCAAATTTGATTTCCCAGGTTGTGTATCAAACCGGCTACTGCGATGACCCTAGTGGTGTTTTCAGTAAAAACGTATCCAGATTGAAGGCAATTCATCGACTATTAGAATATAGTATTTACTATGCTTCTGCATATAAAAGAGACTAAAATGCCCCTATGTTTGTTTTTTGTTGTTGTTCACGAAACATATTCAAACATAGCCTAGGATATAGCTATAATTATGTGAGTCCCACAAGGGATGTTGTTAAATTCGTAACCACTGCTTCAGTCAATCCTAGGAGCATATCTGAATTGAAAGTTACTTGCTAGTTGGCCTTCCCTCTACTGCCCTGGTGATTTGTGAGGGGGTGGCAATCTTATGGTGAATTAGATAGTTATAGGAAATTCTAGAATGATGTTATCACTTCATGCGTTTCATACTCACAAACACACCCACACACACACATACATTTAAATATATATATATATATATATCCCTACATGGTACATTAAGCGGACATCATAAAAATCCTAACCCTAACCCTGACCCTAACCCTAACCCTAAATCCTAACCCTAAACCTAACCCTAAACCTAAACCTAACCCTAACCCTAATCCTTACACTAACCCTAACCCTAATGTCTACTTAATGACTCATTTTTCACTCAAAATGTCACTCCAATGACACCTTTAGTGGAATTACATATTTAGAGAGAGAGATATAAACAAATTGGGCCTTCTATGAGAAATAAAACGTAAAAAACGTTAAGAGGACACCATATTATCCTTCTAATGACAACGTCTACTTAATGACTCATTTTTTCACTCCAAATGTCCCTCTAATGAAGCCTTTAGTAAAATATTCATATGTGTATATATATATATATATATATATATATATATATATATATGTAGTGTATGTATGTGTGTGTGCGTGTTTGCGTGCATGCATCTTTTAAAAATGTGTATGGGTGTATGTGTGTGTGGGGTGTGTGTGAGAGGGAGAGAGAGAGAGAGAGAGGTCATGTGGGTTTATGATATGTGATGAGTAGGATGACACAGGAATTAAGTCACCTCGAACTTAAGTGGGTTATGTAATACCCCCTCTCTCTCCCTCTCTTTGAGGGTGCGTTTAATCGACACTTTTTCACCCTAGAATCACGGTTTCTAAAGACGTTTAGTTTAAAACGCAATGCGTTCAAGCGATTTTTTCGTCGGTCGTAAAAATAAACGTGTTTGAATACACAAACATGAAACGCTGAAAAAGATGCGTTTTGTATCATGATTCTGCAGAATCACGGTCGCTAAAATTCGATTGAACGGACGGAGTTCTCAATCATGATTGTATGACGGAGCCTGTTCCGGTTTGGGCAAAAACCGCGCGCCTGCTTTTCATGCAATTTGCGTTTACTATACCATGCTCTTTATCATGGCCTGTTCCGTTATGTTATACCTTGTTTTCCTCTTTTTCTCTTTCTGTCTTTCCTTATGTTATTCTTTGTTTCTTCCTTCTATTCTTAAGTTATTCTTTGTTTTTTCCTTCTATCACCTTCTCTTATGTTATTCTTTATTTTTATAATTCTATCACTTTCTCTTTCTGTCTTTCCTTATGTTATTCTTTGTTTCTTCCTTCTATTCTTATGTTAATCTTTGTTTTTTTCCTTCTATCACAGTTTCTTATGTTATTCTTTGTTTTAATCATTCTATCACTTTCTCTTTCTGTCTTTCCTTATGTTATTCTTTGTTTCTTCCTTCTATCACCTTCTTTTATGTTATTCTTTGTTTTTTACCTTCACTCACAGTCTCTTATGTTATTCTTTGTTTTTATAATTCTATCACTTTCTCTTTTGTTATTCTTTGTTTCTTCCTTCTATTCTTATGTTAATCTTTGTTTTTTTCCTTCTATCAGCTTTTTTAATGTAATTCTTTGTTTTAAGCATTCTATCACTTTCTCTTTCTGTCTTTCCTTATGTTAATCTTTGTTCTTTTCCTTCTATCAGCTTTTTTAATGTAATTCTTTGTTTTAATCATTCTATCACTTTCTCTTTCTGTCTTTCCTTATGTTATTTTTTGTTTCTTCCTTCCATCACCTTCTCATTCTTTGTTTTATTATTGCGATCTATGCTCAAAACAGCAGTCGACAGTCGGCCGTAAACAATTCCAAAAAGCGCGCGCCGAAGTTGACCTATACTTCCTGGGTCAAACTGCGAGTGTGATCCGCAGTGGCTGGGCTCGAAATGAGCTAGAATCAGCGTTGAAGAAAAATCGCTTGAACGCTAACCGCAGTGGGTGGTATTCTCATAAGTTAAGCCGGGACTAAGTCCAGACTAAACAAGAATTTTAGTTCACACTTCTATGGAATGCTAGGTTTCATCTTCCTCCTTCAATATTCATGACAAAGATAATCTACCAAAAACTTTGTTGAAATTCAGTTCATACTCATATTATCTTTTTCTTCCCATTTCATCGCAAAATTAATTTTTTGAACACTCTTCATTGAAGGATTAAAATAATCTGTACAGGGTAAATTAGTTTGCAACAGGCACTCCATAGAAGTGTGAATTAACTAAGTATGCGCTAACTTAGTACGCGCTACCGGAATACCACCCAGTGACCTTGTTTTTTGTAACGGCGTTTTGATTTGTGATTCATGTTTGTGATTCTAGCTTCGAAAATTCGATTGAACGCACCCTTATATATATCACACACAAACATACACACAAAGTTAATTTTATGACATCATAATAAAACTGCCAATACATGTAATACTGTAAATCATAGAATGTGGCATATAAGATTTATCAATGACATGTAATTTAACAATATACTAGCGAGATATATTGAGAATCGTTCTGAAGATTGTGTAAATCATATAGTTTTATCTATGTCATAGCCTGTCGTATAATTTCATAATATAACCTGAAAATCATTGTACATTAAAATTTATTTATAAGACTGTATATCACAATAATTCTTTTACATTTCATCAGCTGCATTTCTCTCTCTCTCTCTCTCTCTTTCTCTCTCTTGCTCTGGTTCCTTTCCAATTTCTTGTTCCGCCCCTCTCCTTCTCTTGCTCTGTCTCTGCATATATATCTTTCTCTCTCTCTCTCTCTCTCTCTTGCTCTGTTTCCCTTCCCTTTTCTTGTTCTGCCTCCTCTCCTTCTCTCTGCATCTCGCTCTCTCTCTCTCTCTCTCTCCCTCTCTTGCTCTGTTTCCCTTCCCCTTTCTTGTTCTGCCTCCTCTCCTTCTCTCTGCATCTCTCTCTCTCTCTCTTTCGATCAGGGTGGAAACCGTGACTATTCCCTCCATCGACCAATTCGTTCTGTCTGTGTTCTCCAAAGGCGTTAGGCAATCCTGAATAATCCTACTTGGTTTTACCATGGACCTACTACGCATCTACCATGGTTTTGCAATGCCTTTCCACTCGAATGCTCACCAAGTGCTAAAACCACTGTAGTCGCCATAACAACAATGAGAACAATGGAAACAAGATGACTTTGAGCACGACTTTTAAGAAGACAGAAGAGGCGGAGTGTATCTTCACAGCAGGGACTTGGGATCCCAAGTCCCTGTTCACAGCGAGGATCTACTACTAGAATTGATCATAGCAAGGAGTACATCGTTTTAGGCAAAGGGGTGTACTATGTTCCCGTGACCCTTATTTATGAAACCTAATTTGCAGGCAACTTATCGCGCCGCTGTTCATATATTCCGCTAGCCGCTTGCTAGTCATGTTTTCATGACTCAATTATCAATACTATATTAATTATTTATAATGACATTTGACCGTGAAATAACACAACAATGAATAGATACACCTATCCCCGTACGAGATACTTTCGGCGTTCATTTCTTGACTTTAGTGATAACGTTAATACGCAATTAAACGAGACATATATACTATGATTATATACGTGCATACATGTATTTAATATATAGTTGTACCAGGGAGTTCAATTCCAATGTACATGTATATTCATTATCCTCACGTACTTTCGACTTCCACTGTGTTCAAAGTACATGATTCTGGTAGTCTGGGACCAATGTGGATGTAGATTGTCAGAAATACTGGTTGACCAAATGTCCAGATACACACAAAGCAAAGTGCACGTCATGCAAGCTCATTGAAGCGTGATACACAAAACCGGTTTAAAGGGGTTCCCAGTGGTGTTTTCACAGCACGGTTCGTACGGTTTAGCTTGAGTGGTAAAAACGAAGCATGCGTGTTTGAATGAGAGCGAACGAGACACCGCATTGAACTCGCGGCGCGAGTTGTAAATACAAACCGTGTATACCAACATCATTCAACGATCTACCAATACAAGAATAGGTGGTAGTATTTGGATACGAAGCTAACATACTTCGTATGTAGTGGACAATTCGTTATTGGTATTTCGGTGTTGAAACACAGCACAACGGAGTATACAGGGTACTGTAAGCAATAGTAACACATTTATTTGATTTTACCATGGTGGAGGATGATTCGAAGCCAAACGGGAACGCGGCGAATGGTGTCGCAGATCCATCGGGGAACTCGCCGGTTCATGGTGATCAGGGAGCCGATAGTCAGGTCGTCTATCGACCAAATAGCAAGAACAACGATAGCGACATCGAAACCAGACTGGCTGACAAGGGGAAGGAGGCAGACGGTGATGGGGGATCAACCTCTAGTAGCAATGTGCAGCTCAAGCGCGAGATCTCGCTCATGGGCGGCGTCGCGGTCAACGTCGGAGTCATCATCGGCTCTGGTATCTTCATCTCCCCGAAGGGTGTCCTTATCGGGTCGGGGAGTGTCGGCATGACCATGATCAACTGGGCTATCTGCGGTGTTTTCTCCATGGTCGGAGCCCTGTGCCTTGCCGAGCTGGGCACTATGATTCCGTCGTCGGGAGGCTTCTACGTGTACGCTCAGCAGAGCTTCGGTAACTTCTGGGCCTTCCTGTTGCTTTGGACGATGAGCGGGATGATGCAACCGGTAGCCATCGCCGTGATCTCGTTGACATGTGCCCAGTATATACTCGAACCTTTCTTTATGCTGGCCGACTGTAATCCGCCGGGTGCGGCTATCAGTTTACTCGCCATATGCTGCCAATGTAAGTAAACACGTTGATATTTACATTTACAACATATCATCAAAAATTCTTTAAATACAAACATGTCAAAATATGTCAAAGCAATTCGTTTTGGACTTATTAAAACATGTACTACTATCGGCCCATATTTACACATTGTAGCTGTGGCAATAAAGATTTACAATTTCCTTTTGGACTGAATTATTATCGATGTGCACGATCGCAATGGAAGTAAAAAATAAATTTACAAATATAATTACATAATACATATATAAACCGCTGATCAATTCGCTTTAAATTTATGTGATCAACCAATATTTACACATCATCTGTGGCAATATTAATTTAATAATTTAGTTTGAGATTGTGAGCATGTAAAGTCTTGACTATATCGGGGAAAAGATGGCAGGGAATAAGGAGGTAATCATATCAGAGACGTGGAGGAGAGATCAGAGATGAAGTAGAATAGATGCGGAAGACTGAAGCTATTTGTATAGCAATTTTTTTTTTTATAATGATTTTCGAAGAACTACATATTCAGTGATGTTACGGCGAGAATACTCAAATACACATATGGACAAAGAAGAGATGAAGAGAAACGCTGACATCGAACTGAGACAGAGAGAGAGATGGAGGTAAATAGATGAGATGGGTTGTAAACTTGTATTATACCTCTTTGGTGTATGGTAGACGAACCTATTTTATCCAGCGTGGTATTAAAAACCAGGCTTGATCGTTGCTGGAAGGAACAGTGTCATATCTCTCAATACTCGAACTGATTTTTTCAATTTCTTTGTTCCTGGGACATTTTACATGGTACATTGTCCAGTCAAGATGCAACCTCTTGCCCCTCTGCCTCCCTTGCATATAATGAGAATTATTATTAAAGAGTATGAGTACAAGAAGATAGACCAAGAAGATAGACCTGGAAGCTCGACTGCTGTCTCAGCATTCTTCCAGTATTTGCGGTAAAGGTAAAGGTAAAGATAACCCCACCCCCTTCATATCATTCAACTTGCACTGACTTAACCTAAGATAACCCCAGTCACTACTAATAGGAGTTAATCAGAGTTTAACATATTTGTCATCAATGAAAAATTGAAAACCTACGTTCCATAATTCAGATAATCCTAGAAATGTCCTTTTGTGGTTACAGTTGTATTTTTGTCCTCAGAAAGTACGTATATTTATAGGGCTTCAAGTAATAGAAAAGAAAACATAAATAAAGGGCATTGTTAAAATATAGCTTTCTTTCTCTGTGTTTAGATCTATTGTTTTCATATTTGCCATAATCCTGTCATCTTGCTTGTTCAGAGCAACTGATAGAGAGGTGCAAAAATACACGTGTTACTACTTGTGCTGATCAAAGATCAACGTAGTTACTCCGCTTCCCACTTCAAAACAATAATCATGATAATAGAGGATCGTTAATAATGGCAAGTATCAAAGACAGAAGTCTATTTTAAATTTAACATAAGTGTCGAACTGTCATTCAGAATTGGAACTTTGTTTAATCTGAGACGATAACGGATTCAAACTTCACAGCAGAATTGTTGATGAAGAGTTGGAGTAGGTGTTAGAGTGCTTTGCACACGTTTCTCAAGGAGGGGGTTTGGGTGCTGGTCTGCTGGAGCTGGAGCGACTTCTCCAAAGTTCTGTGACCTACAATCCTACATAATATATTTGTTCATCTGCCCTTCACTTTGTAGACCTTTGGTCCACGTTGACAACCGGTATGCCTTCTCACTCGTCGAAGCCACATCTATGTTGAAGGAACAATCGAAATGGTAGACAATGATTCTGGGACAAACTATCCCAGTGAACTAATACCAGTGTCACGATCATTTACCCAGAACGAAACCCCTTGAAGAACCACCCCATCTTGCAGTGTATCTCCCTCCCATAGAACAATTATCCAATGCACATTCCAATCACCAGGGACTCATACATGTACATAGATGAGTAGTGACTAGTCCAGACTTTTCAGGTATACTTCTCGTCAAAGCTGTATTTGAAGAGCAATCTTTTTCAGGGGACATTCTCTGCTATGGTTTATTATCATTATGGCATTCAAAGAGTAAGACAGCGCATGTGTTTCTCATCTCTACCGGTACCCGGCCTCTTTTTTGTTCGATTCATGGCACTACCCCGTGTACATGTTCCATATTATTTTATTTTTATTCTTACAGTACACAGTACATATCAGAACTACCACCACCTGTTCGCAATTCTAACTCTCAGATTGCCCCCATCCCCTTTTCCATCCCCTTTTCCATCCCCGACCAAGGGCGGAGAGGATAATCAACTTGTGAAATAGTTTACTAATTGCCCTTTTATTTACACTTTAGTTAACCCCTCGTTCAGGCTAGTAAAGTTCATATCTCTACTTTTAGTATGATTATGATACAACGCTATACTTCCTTGGTGAGGAAGTTCTAGAAGATTAGTCCAGCACAACCGAGTTCTGTTTGAAAACGTGGTTGAAAATGCCCACAGCCACAGATTACGTAATTGCATTGTATTCAGAGCGATTGTGTCCACAGGGTTACTGTACTGTTACCTGATATGAAAGAATAGAGCACCAAAACCAATAAGAAACAATAGAGATGGTTACGGTCAGGTAAAGGTCAAATGATTCGTTGTTTCTTATTCCCATGTGTGGATGGCTAATACAGTAAGATTTCCCAAGAGAAGGTTTTGCTCTTCTTTTAAAGTTTAAACTTACTTTTCCAAACAAGACTGGAAATGAATTGATGGTTTGGACCAATGTTTGATGCCAACGTTTTTTTAGTGTTTGTACTTGTAGTACCATATATACACGTATTCATAACTATGTTGAGTGCTGTTGTTTTCACTGAAGGGCATTTCCAGCAAGATTAGTTTCAATTCTATTTTTATTGTCACTTGTCAGCTATATTCCACCAATGCAAAGCATATAACAGTACACAAATGTACAATTAAACACTTAAAATACATGGTTTTAAAAAAAAAGTATTTACATGTAACTGTTCATGTGAACGTACAATTATGTTTTGTAAAGGACAGCTGAGGAAATGCGGAATGCAGTTCATTTGTAACCATTTTTATGTTTCTAAAACCTGAAAATTAACTATCAATTATCATTCTTGTGTATACTGCTCAGGTACTACTGCAGAATATATTTTGACCAGTAGTCCAGAACCGAACTTAACCTTAAAGGGAAAAGATCATTTTCAAAATAATACACTGGAGCTTCCAAGCTTTTTATCTTTCTGAAGGTATATGCACTAAATATGCACACCTATCTGTTTGTTCAGTCAGTAGACGTTCTGTTGACTTTAAAATTGTATAACTTTTACAGCATGCGTATAAGTTATAAATTGTATTCTAGAAACGTGGTCAAACGAAATTGTGCAGATTTGGCCTCAAATATTAAATATTTGCATTTTGATCAGAAGTTCGTGGGATAAGTTTGGAATTTTTCAGATCCGAGCACGCACAAAGTATTTTGTCCTATTTCGTATACCCCGTGATAGCTTGACTATAGCTGTGAATTCTGTGATGGTATTGAATAATCTTTATTAGCACGAACACTTCTGATAGTGAAACGCATGAGCTAATGGTCACATTAACTGTCGGAATTGTATCTTTGTTAAGATATCTAAATTTTACAATGTGTAAGTTTAAGAAGCATGGACATTTGTCCACTAAGCCCTCTCTACTTCATTTCTCCCTGCATGATAATTCACATGCTCAGGTGCTTCATTTCGAGAAGAAAAAAAAATTCCCGTAAAATGCTGTGCAACCTCCTCCAAAGTGTGAATACAATGCAATTTGGCTTCTTGGGCTTTTGCCAAAATTCCTTCAATTGAATTCAATTGTGAGTAGAATTTATGTATTACTACGAGTCTACCACGCTTGAATTATTATTGCAGGATCATAGCAAGGATATCCAACATCAACAGCATGGTTAGTTTAACTGAGTTATATCACAATCATTATGTTAAGTTGACAATGAAATCGTACCACGCTCCAATATTTGTTTCTTCTTTGGGCGCGAGAGGATGCATAATATTGGGTGTAACAGCATTTACAGGAATTAACTTGGATTAACAGCCTTCGTTGGAATAACATGCACATGTTTTGTTTGTCTGTAATAGTTAATGAAATCCGCTTAGAACAATCGTTTGGCCATAACTGTATGTTAACTATAAGGAGGGTATGGTTTGTTAGACTTAAGTTAATCTGAGACGGTAAGGGCAATATTTGCTTTGAAGTAGAATAGTAGATAGCTAATGTTTTCCTCTAGTATTAAACTGAACCAATAAAAAGGAAGGCGTCATTACGCATCATCACCAAGTAGTCTCATACTATCCAGCCCGTCATTGGAATCCGTAAGCAATGTCTATCACAATGCCCGTTGTACACAAGGCGTCTTTTCGATTGCGTTATTGCGTTATTGTCTACGCTAATCGAGAAAAGACGCCATTGGAAGTTTTGAAGCCAAAACATTTTGCCAGTTAATCAACGCAATATTTGCGCTGTTCGTCTTCATTTTCATTCATTCACTTCTTTTATGAGGTCACTCTAAAATGGCGCAGACAAAGACCACGCCAGTCGGCTAACGCAGTCCTGCGTTAGCAAAATGACACCTTGTGTTCAACACTATTCGGTATGATTGTCAACACGAGAAAGCTGAGTTCTGGAATTTTTGGTAATGGTGAAACTTAATCTGAGAGATTTCTTTTGAACGTTTCATTAAATAAATTAAAATACAATCGAGTCAACTAATACAACTGTGAAAATGGGGGGGGGGGGGGGCATTTGAGAGCTTTTTATTCTTGTTACGTCAGTTTGGCAGAATATCACAGGAGGATTTTGTGTCCTCTAAAAGGGTTCACTCTTTAAAGGCCCACTGCACTACTTGTAGCTACTTGCGCCCTCTATATAACAAACGATGCCTAATCGGTGACCATTGGTCCCCCATGATCCTCTTTTTCTTAAGTTAACTGAGAGCTGAGTTGATGAGATAACCACCTGTCCAGTGACCTTGCAGTGCGGTCTAATCCCTCCTGTAAACTACGATAAAAAAACTACGTAAAAACGATAAATGGCTGAAATGATTGGACCAAACTTTCATGTCACAGGTGTATGTTATCCCCATATACATATTTCGGTGTACTGTGAACTTGCCTTTCGACTATTTTGTTTCACATTTCAATCTCTTGACCAAAACTTAACGTTAGAGAGCTGTTAACTGATTTTCTGCAATGTGTTCTTCATAAAGACGTTCGTAATTATGTTGAAACTGGTGGGGTTATTGCTAAGCCTATAAGCCTAGTTATTGCTCTTTTACGATCTTACAATACTCCATGGGTAAGTGAGTAGCCGGGTGGAATAGATTTTTGCCCCCTATGATCCTATCTAGAACAAACACACTCACATTTTGGACGATAATGGGCATAACATATTTTGGTATGATGTTAGCCTTTGACCTTGTACTCGAGACAGATTGACCTCAACAATGGTCTGATTCTGTAGGCTTGTGTCAAGGCGATATATCCCGAAACTTGTGTAGCCCTCCTTATCTATACTAGCTCCCAGTCTAAGGGTCTAATTGAGTCGAGTATTTCCTTTACCAGAGAATTGTAGGCAATTTACTAATGTGACATCCTGTAGAGAAGTTTGTCCTTAAACTCCCATATTGGTCAAACACCTTTCATTGCTGATGGTGCGATGAACTTGTTTAACAGCGGACCTACAATACTGTAGGCAAATGATTTTGCACTTTTTAAAGTGCACCTTACCCCTGTCAAATGCCCATTTCCCACATTTCCTACTTTTATCATTCGGACTGGACATTAGGGAATTATACACATACGAGGAGATTAGGCATATCTCTTTTAATTGAGAGAGGAGGAAATAACTAATTTCGCTTTGAAGCCAGGCTAACCGTGCTCGTCTTTAATTGACAACATGCTGTTTTCAAGTAGGGACCTCTCCCTGGTTCAAGCTAGTCTGAGTAGTCTGCAGGCACAGACACTAATTTGACACTTTGCCACAATTCATAAAGCCTTGAGCAGAGCCTAGCTCTGTCCGCTTCTAGCTGTGTCA